TCCGTCCTGCTGCTGCTTAGGCCCAGAGCTCAGTCATTCTGGGCCTTTTCTCCCACACAGCTGGTCTGCCAGAAAGCACAGTTCGTTCTGCTTTCAAACCAGACGGGGACTGGCTGTGCCCACCACTCTGCTGCCACCGCTTAGTTCCAGCTACCGCGGCCTTCCCCCGGGTTACTGCACTGGCCTTCGAAGTTACCAGCCCCATCACCTAGACAATGGCCTCTGGCTTCACTCTGGACTGCTCCAGGTAGCCAGAGTGCTCCTTCAACAGCCCAAGTCAGACAGCGCAGCACTTGACTCGAAGCCACCAGCACACCCCCTCCCAGCTCAGTGTGAAGCCCAAATCTACCCCACGTCACCCGAAGTCTCGCTTGCCCTTCCCCTCGCTCTATCTGCCAGGCACTCTGGCTGCTCTGCTCCCAGGTAGCTGCAGGGGGAACTCCTCAAGAAAGCCCATCTATTGAAAGCAGCCCTTGTCTTCACCGGCCCCCAGCACCTCTGATGCCCTTACCTGGCACTCCTTTCCAACGAGCTCACCATCTTCCTCACTTTCTATATTTATTGCGCCACTCACTGTCTGATTATTCCTCTCCGTTTTGCCACTGATGTAGCCCAGGTGCCTGAAATGGTGCCTGACACATGAAGCCCTGTGTCAGGGGTGATGCGTGAAGGGGGAGTAAGTACTGTGGAATGAGGGCATGGTGGCTCCTGGGCTTGGCAGGAACCTACTTTCCAAGAGGAAGGGGCCGCCGTCTGGCAAAGGAGATGACTTAAATGTGGGGACTATTTGGAGGAAAGTTAGGACAAATAACTTTGGTGAGGGAAATGAGAACTGATTTTTGTAGGTCTCAGAGTCAAAGATGATGGGTTATAAGAGAAAAGCCCTCACGGGTTCTGCTAAGGTTGAAAGTGTGGACTCCTCCTAAAGGGCCACATGTGTAGGGACATATGTTTTACATGTATGACTTAAATGTTTAACAGTATGACTGGAAAAGATCTGGGAAGCCTGGGAGTAGAATCCAGGGATACAAGATTTTCTGGAGACTCCCGTGACACTGGGAAACAGTCCCGGGGCTGCCTATGAGCCTCTAGTGACTTAAAGGCAGAGCCGCAGGGTGGAAGGAAGGACCTTGAAGGCAGCATACTGCTCACATAGCTTGTCATCTGTGATCCTGGCTGTTATCTGAATGCAGGCTTCTACCCAGAACAGACCTTTGCAACACACTTCTGGAGCCTCAGCGTTCGGGCAGGTGGTCTTTGCTGGCTGGGTAGGGCCGTGCCTGTGGGCATCTCCATGAGTCTAAGCACATCTGGGAAACGGGCTCTGATGTGTGTGGGCTGTAAGTTGCCGTTAGACTAGCGACATGGCCTTGGATGGAGAGGGGGCCCTCCAAGTTATCCCAACAGGGGTGTGAAGAAGAATACCCCTTGCCTTGGTGCCACAGTCCCCCCACTTCACAGTGCTCCACAGCCTACAAAGAGTTTGTGAAGAGACACCCTGATCTGAGCTTCAGAAGCACACTGCCATGAATACCACATTCCTGTGACAGATGAGGAAACGGAGTCTTCTTCCTCAACAGGAAGAAGCAAGACTCAATGATTTGCCAGTTTTCTGACATCGGGTGCGGCTCGTTCTCCTCTAAATCCTGCCTTGTCGTTTGGGTCAGAAACCATCTGCTGCATGGAGAGAAGCTGGAAATAAGTGTTGGGTCCCTAAACACCTCCTCTGCTCTCAGTCAATACACTGCTGCCATCAAATGCTGAGACAGCCCTTCAGTATGACCTCATGCACCCGCTCCTCCACCTGGAGGTGTGTAAAGCAGCCCTTCGTGAGATGAGGGAGGCTGGGAGGAGAGAGGGACAGGAGAACTGTAAGGGCGAGCTAGCAGAGACTTCATATTTAGAAAATGGAAAAAAAAAAATAAAAACCACCACCTGTGGTTATTTAAAATATAAAGGACAGAAAGTAAGGTCTGAATAAATCCTGGCTGGTGGGAGCGCACTGGAGAGGGACACGGGTTGACACGTTCATGAGGGCATCATGGCTGAGGAGATGGAGGATCTCGGGCCAGGGCGTGGTGAACTGGCCACCCTGGAGGTTGGGTTCTAGCCCTGTGGCACAGGAAGGCACTCACCCACTCCACTATCACTTTGGCATCAGCAAATTCCTGTCTGCTAAGTTCAGGATAGGTAAGAGCTAAGTGAGATCAACGCGAAGGTGAACTGAACAGAACCATGGCGCTAATGGTAAGGGTCTGCTCCATGATTTGGGGCTCCTTTCCTGTCCTGTGTTCCTCCTTCCTACGAATGGAGCCACTTTTTTTTCTGTAGAAATTCTGTATCCTAGACAATGTTTTTCACTTTTTCTTTGAAAACTATGACTAGCTGGGGAGAAAGATGCTGGCTGAGTGACAGGCCTTGCCAACAGCGAGATGAGTCCTGAGGCACGCCCTGTGGCCACAGCGGGTCCTTGTGCATCCCGGTGCAGCCTGCCGTCCCGTCCTGCTCTTCTTCCCACGGGCTCCTCTGCCTGTTCCGCATGGGTCTGCTGCCATTTATGAAGGGGGCCTTGGAGACAGAGCACACCACGGCTCTTTCCTGTCTCGTTCCCCTCTACAGAGCCCTGCACAGCACAAGCTCCAAGCACAGGAGCTCTGGCCTTTACATCCTGAGTTGAATAGCACCTGGGTTAGCCTTTGGGCTCACAGAGCCTGCAAAATTGGAAGTGCACTCAGGAGTGTGGAGAGAGGCTGTCAAGGGTCAGGAGGGGAGGCTCAGAGCATGAGTATGTAGACTAATGTACATACATATTTTAATCTAGAATTTGCTGGAAGAATTCAAGGGAGAGTGTATCCACACACACACACACACACACACACACACGTACCAGGAGACGAAGACAACCCAGGGAATTCGGAGACAGAGGGGCAACTGAATCTGAAGCTACTACTTGAGGAGAGTGGGGACAAGAGGCTGTTGGAAGGGGATATATGCACAGTGTAGTCTCCTTGCAAAGTCCACCTGCTGGAGCGGGGGCAGGCAGAGGCTTCTAATCAGGGGAAGTCAGGCAGATAAGATAACATGTCAATTCAACTGACTGGGAGCAAGAGGGAGCCAAGGGGGGAGGAGAAGGATGCATGGGGGAGATGGTAGTGGTTGGCAGGGTAGTTTCAAACATTTTAGATTCAAACTCTAAAGCGTCTGCCCCGTGCTGTTATTCAATGTTCAGTGCATCAAAGGTTTATGCAAACATTACCAAATCTCTTAATTAAGGAAAAATGATGACAAAAAAATTAAACAACACATGTTAAAGACTAACCGCAAAAGGACTCGTCTATAGATAAAGAGAGGAGATTTAAACATGCCAGGTAACAAAAAGACATGTGCAGGGACAGGTAGCGACTGTACAGGAGGAGGCAACTCTTGGGGGAGAAGAGGGCAGGAGCCCTGGCAGCCCCGGATCCTGCCTAAGGCCAGGGAGCTGCGGGAAGGTGGTTCCGAGGGGTGAAGGAACACAGGGTGGACAGAGGAAAAACCAGGAGGTTGAAGTGGGAAGCTAGGTGCTCCTATGGAGAGAGCCTGCTTCCACAGCAACCAGGAACTACCCAGGAGAGATCTGGTAGACCGCCCAACCACTTGGCTCTTAATTTCTCCAGAGGAGAAGGTATAAGCCAGCATCCAGACATGATCTTCCTCTCCTCTCCCAATGCAGGGGCCCGGATGCCTGCATGGGCTGCTGAAGTGCAATTGAAATAGAGCCCATTAATGTGAAGATAAAATGGGGTGGCCCTTGGGCCAGGTGGGCTATGCCTGACAATGCAGGCAAAGTCGAAACCTTCGGCTCAGGGATTTCACTTTGTGGAAATCCCTTTCCAAGATGCTATAGGGATGGAAAGGCACAGGAGAAGAGGCAGTGGTCCGGGTGCAGTGTGGCTGGGAAAGGTCCGGGTCCCTGCCCCAACAGCTGCCCTGACTTTTTTGAGTGTCCCTTCATTCTCTCCTCCACGATTTGCAAAGCTGCATCCTCCTATACAGTGTGAGTCATGCCAGGCTGATTGTAAGGGGCAGAGAGAGAAAGATGCAGCAATCAAAACTTAACAGGAAAGAGGGAGTCCTAAAGCGTTTCAGAAGTAATAAATCAATAAAAATTTAAAAATTGCAAAAGAAAGCAACAAGGAAAAAATGCTTTAAATTGTTTTTAAACAAACAGATTTTAAAATGAAATAAAAATAACAAGGTGGCAAGGAGAAAATAAAATGAAGTAAAACAATAAACTGGGGAAAGACGAATGAGTGTTAGAGCAGGCACGGACAGTTAGGGACAGACGCCATGTACTTACGTTTACCTCGGTGATTGCTATATCAACAATGCTACCCACAACAATCAAGGCGTCAAATGTATTCCATGCATCACAGAAATAGTGCTGCATGGGGCAGAGAAGCCGAGGAAAAGAGAGAGAGAAGAGAAAAAAAAAACCAACAACAAAGGAGAAAAACAAAACAAAAGGGAAGAGGGAAAATGAAAAAAAAAAAAAGCATGAAAGAAGGGAGAGAAGAGAAAAAAAATGAGAAAAGAAAGAGGTTACGTGGGCATATTAAATACTCTCTTACCACTCTACAGTTCTGGCGGCTCAAACCTGGGAAACCTGGTTTTCGCAGGGTGGAGAGGCCTGACAAAAGCTGGGTTAGTTCAAAGGTTACGCTGGTGTGTGGCCACCCTTGGGGGAGCCAGTGGCGCTTCCACCGCAAGACCGCTCCCTCTGCTCAGCTAAGCTCCGTGCTCTTGGGCAGAGCTGGGACAGTGGAAAAAAAGGAGGAGAAGCTCCCACTTTTTTTCCCCACAGGACGACGGCAGGTTCAATAAAATGCATGACTGGAGGCGGGTAAAACAGGAAATTAAAAAAACAAATAAAAGGAGGTAAAGAGAGAGTGAGAGAAGTAGAGGAGGCAGAGGAGGTGAGAAGGAGGGAGGTTTCCTGGGGAGGGAGGAGTAATACTCACATTAGTCTCACTGAGAATGACGTCAATTATGCTGCCAATTACGATGAGGAAGTCAAAAACATTCCAGGGATCACTAAAGTAACCCTACATGAGGGAGGGGCAGGCAGGACGGGGATTAAAAAGGAATATTAGACAGACAAGAACAGAGCAATGTCACCATCAGAATCATTGTCCAGGCACCTCTGTTGCTGCTGGAGTTGCAAACGCCTCACCATGGCCGGGAGCAAAGAGAGCGGCAGGGAGGCTCTACCCAGCCCTGGACCAGCCCCCCTTGGACACTTGGCCCCCATCCTGTGGCTCCAGCCCGCCTGGCCACCCTCCTTCACAGAGGCCCCTTCCACTTCCCACTGGCGGGAGGGGAATGGGACAGGCCACGATGGTGCAGGGGTGTGACTAGGCTCTCCAGATACGTGCAGTATCTGCTGCAACCTGGCTCTCTTCCACCACAGGGTTCTGGGTGGAGGGAGCGAATGTGGGCATGAGAGCCCTGGGAGGTGGATGGTCATCTGGGGAAGCTGAGAATGGAAAAAGGCTCTGAAAACCACAGCCATCAGCATGGGCCAGTAGGATGGCCAGCTTATCTGGGATCCAAGGAGGTTCGTAAAACTTGGAATAAGAAAGGGCCAAATGATAAGAACAGTATCTATAATAAACTGACTCTTTGCAGACAGAATCAGGCAGCCTTGTTCCTGCACTGGACGTGCCCAGATGTTTCTAGGGCCCGTTCTACCCAGCAAAGGCTCTACCACCTGGAAGGAGACAGAGGAGGTCAGTCCCATAGTCTGGTACTATCCAAGGTGGCTCTAAACAGCGCTCTCTGGGTGTCTCCCGAGCACCTTTCCCACCACCATCATTCTGACAGAGGGTCCTGCAGAAATGCAAATGCCACCCAAAGTGAGCACAGTTATCAAAGTCTTTCCTGAGAGCAGGTTCGACAGGGGTAGCTGGCAGAGGGTAGGAGGGCACTGGCTTTTAAGGAAGGGCATGAAGGCAGTGCTGCCGCAGAGGAGAGACTCCCACGCAGAGCGAAAGGCCCGTGTCTCAACTTCGCTAAGTATTTTGTAGGCATGCATTTTATTTATTTTACACCACTTTAAGAGAAGGAAGTGGTGAACGTTCTCTAAAACTCCTTTGAGGTGCTTGGACAATGGCCAACCAAGGACTTGGCTGTCTCAGATGCTCTGGAGGGTCCCAGGAGTCCTGGGTTTGGAGGCTTTTCACAAAATGCCAGCAGGTTTCTTTGGTCTGCGCTGCTTGGCTCTCTGGGAGGTGTAGGAGCTGGGAGAGCCTTGTCTGTGGCCACATGGGGCACGCTCCCGCTCAGGGAGCCCAGGAGCACGGCAGCCATTCCTCATGAAAGGAGAGGACCTACCACTAAAGAACTTGTCATTCTTATGGAAAGACGTTTGCTGCCAAGGAAGCAGGAGGGCTGGCTGAGTCTGTTCAGAAGGACCAGCCTTTTCCTGTTCCCTGAGCTTCCAGGAGAGGAAAGCTGAGATGGTGAGTGGATATGAAAGCATGGAGCATCCTCTGAGAGGTGCTCAGACCTTTCACCCCAGCTCTCCAGAGGGCTGTCAACTATCCTTATTTTTGACTCACAGGAGCCAAGAATCTGTGCTCCCCCCGTAACCCCTTGCTCTGTCAGCTCCCTACTTCCCAGACATGCCCTCTTTCCAGAGGAACCCAAGACACACTGTCCTAGGGCTGTTATTCTTCATGTGGGAGGTCAGGTCATGGGGAAAGGGCCTCTTGGTTCCCAGGCATTTCTGCCAAAAGAAAACAGAAACACCACTGCAGAGACTTTGGGCAGCCAGACTAGACAGCAGGGCTGGCCGGGGCGTGGGTGAGGTGGGGTCAGCCTGAAATCATGACTTTCTCTTTGGCTTTCCCAGGGTGTTTTTCTGAATATACCAGAGCCTTTGGGGCACACAGAGGCTGCTCTCTCCCTTTTCCTGCTCTGAGAAGAAGACAGCCAATCTCCCGCCAGGTTCTCAGATCCCATTCTCAGGGCAAAAAGAGAATAAAGATTGGCAGGGAGGGGAGGGTGGTGAAGACCCCAAATGAGCTGTAAATACGAGTGTGTTTAAAATTAGACTTTGGACAACACTGGCAACTATCTCTAGATATAGACACCATCCTTGTGGGTTTCAGGAGGGAAGGGAAGGGGGTCGAGGAAGAGAGGGGAGAGAAACAGGAACGAGAGCAGGAGGGGTCTGCACCGGCCTAGAAAACACAGTGAGCAAAGACCATTTGAGTAGGGGCAGGAGGAGAGATAGGGTGGGAGTCTTGGTGCTTGAGAAGGACGAGTGGGAATCTTTTCCTCTTTTCAGAGACCTGAAACAGAATGGGTAAGTTGGCCTTGGTCTGCGGCCCTTCTGGGGGAGGAGAAAGGTAGGAAGAAAGGCAAAGAGCAAGCACAGCCAGGAGTTGAAAACCAGACAAATATGCAGGGGTTGGTGAGCGGGTGCCCCAGGGGGAGAGGCTGAGACCGAAAGGGACCCTGTCCACGTCCTGGCATGCATCCCTGGGCACCCTTCTTTGGGTGTCTTCGCATGTGTGCAGATAGGGGGCAGTGTTACATGTCTCCCAAGCCCAGCCTCACCAGCTACGGCCCCATGGCGCTGGCCGGGCTCGGCTGGGAGCAGAGTTTCCTGCCTGGCCAGCCTGTGCTCCTGGAGCCTTTGGGTTAACTGCTGTGTCCAGTGGTGAGCCACCTGGTGGGTCGCCACAGCTGTAGAAACCATCCAGGTCCTGGTGGCCAAGGGCTCCTGGGGACCCAGTCCTGGGGAGAGTTATGCAGAGCTGGAATGCAGGGGTGAAGGAGCATGTCTAGGGGTGTGGACAAGGTCCCTTTAAGAGGCAGCTTTTCACTCCAACCCATCCACCCATCTTCCACCCTTCTGCCCATAATCCATCAGTCATCACAGCTGGCCCATGAAGATGGTTCCAGACCCAGCTCTGCCCTCCTCCCACTGTTGCGACAGCTCCCCTCCCCCAACACCCCTTCCGTACCCACTCCCAGAATGGCCCCATGTCCCCCATTTGGTCAACAGGCTGTTTGAGGGAGATACCTGGCTGAGGGTGAGCAGGTGAGCGGGGCCTGGAGGAACACTGTTTCCCTAAACTCCGCAGTGCAAGGGCTTGGTGCTTGCTTTCTCTCGCTCTCTCTCTCTCACACATGTATTTTTGCCTGTTCCCTCACTTGCTGGAAACCATTTCCCTACACTCCGCAGTGCAAGGGCTTGGTGCTTGCTTTCTCTCGCTCTCTCTCTCTCTCACATGTATTTTTGCCTGTTCCCTCACTTGCTGGAAACCATTGCTAATAGGGGTTCTGGGGATGAAATGGAATAGGGAGGGGGCGAAATCACAGACTTTTTGCCTTATAAAATCACGTTGGTCCTGAGCCCAGTTACGTCTCCCTGCCTTCTTTCTTCAGTGACTGGGTCCCAATCAGATGCAAGTCAGGCTTGGGGAAAGGCTTTTCCTGACTTCGTTGAAGTGGTGAACCAAACCTCTCAATGCCCAACTCCTCAGAGCCACGGGAAAGTTATACCAGATGGGACAGTGTCGTCAGACAGCTGGAAACCTCCGTTGCCACCCAGAGTCCTACAGTTGAGTGCACTCCCCTGCAAGCTCCCTGCCCTGGGGTGAGCTGAGACAATGGGCCTCTCCTCGGCCATCATAGGGAGAGCCCCAGTGCACCCACCCAGGGTGATGGGCAGGCAGCACACGTGACCTGTGGCTGCTTAGGCTCTGGGTGAGAGCATTTCCTGACTGCAACTGAGTCTCTGCTCACTGGCGCGAGCTGAGAAAACACCACAGGATGCCCGCTTCGGCGAATCCTAACTGGGAAGGAAGAGCACTGCAGAAGTGCCTGTGAGGCATTGCACGTGATACGAATCTCGGGTTTTCTTCTCTTTTGAATGATCTGTGTCCTGACTCTGCTACTCTCATCACTGGAGACTTACCAGGTTGAAAGAGGTAGTTGAAGTGGTCAACAATATGATCCCTGAGGTAGACTGTCTGGATCTCACTCTCATCTTTGCTACTTACTAGCTGGGCAACTTTGGGCAAATAGCCTCTCTGTGCTTTGATTTCCTCATGAAGAAAATGGGATAAACTGTAGGGTTGAGGTGAGGATTAAATGGACCCTATATGCAAAGCACGTAGAACCGCGCCTGGTCAGAAGCTAAGTCCAGAGATGGCCACTGAACTTGAGCTGTGAAATATTGCTTTCATTGACTAAAAATGAAGATTTTTCTGCTGAGACTTCTCCCTCCAGATTCATTTCTAGTGGGAAAAGCACAAACCCAGGCCCATCCAGAGATGGCCCCTGAACTTGAGCTGTGAAATACTGCTTTCCTTGACTAAAAGTGAAGACTTTCTGCTGATACTTCTCCCTCCAAATTCATTTCTAATGGGTAGGGTTACCTCTGTATCCTTCTCTCTGTCTCTCTGTCTTAATTTTTTTTTAATTTTTTAAGGTAAAGTATTCTCTAGGTTCTCAAGCCCCTTGTTTATTGTGCTAATTTGTGCCTTTCCCCATCCCATTTATGAAAGGCACAAACCCAGGCCCATCCTGAGATGGCTACTGAACTTGAGCTGTGAAATATTGCTTTCGTGCCACGTGGTTTTATTTTTTTGCTTTTTAAAATTAAAATGTAAAGTTTTTTTTTATTATCTTTTTCCCTTTCTTCTTTTTTATTTCATTTTTTCTTCTTCCTTCCTCTTCTTTAATTCTTTTCCCTTTTTCTTTATTGTTATTCCTTTGCTGCTCAGCCTCCATGCACTGAGTGTCTAGACAGGTCCAAGTGAACATGATCCAACCATTTGAATACTATTAGAGTCAGAATATTCCTCAATTCCCGCTGAATCTGATGCACAAAAAGTGAAAAATGGAATGGAAGAGCGATTGCATATCACCACCTTTTGCATGCCTCTGAATGCTCAGATTGAGCTTCAAGAAATAAGAAGAAAAGCACCATCCATCAGATGACCAGAAATCATCACAGGGGAACAAGAAATATGGGAAAACAAGAAAATACCTCTCTTCCAAGGGAAAATTATAACTCCTCTTCATCCTC